TCCCCTCCTCCCCTCCTCCCCTCCTCCCCTCCCCCGCCTCGCCCTCCGCCACCGCCCGCCCCTCCCATCCAAGGCGTGCGGCCCGACGCCATCGTCGTCAGCGTGGGCGGAGGAGGACTGCTGTGCGGCGTCCTGCGAGGGCTGCAGAGGCGGGAGGGCGGAGGGTGGGGGAGGGAGGGTGGTGCGTGTGTGGCATTTTGCCCAACTGAAGCTGCGCCCCTGGGCTGCAGGCACGGCTGGAGCGAGACGACGGTGCTCACCGCGGAGACGGACGGGGCGGCCTGCTTCGCAAAGGCGCTCGCCGCCGGGGAGCCGGTCACCCTCGCCGGCATCACTTCGGTCGCCACTTCGCTCGGCGCCGCCGCTTGAGCGCGAGGGGAGGAGACTCCGGAGGCGCGCCCCGAGACCTAGGGGCCTCTGACCTGCAGGCGCGCTGTCCGCCTCGAGCTCGGCCGTCCAGATGGCGCGAGACGACCAGCCGACGGAGGCGCGCAGGGCAGTAGGGAGAGAGGCGCAGACGGGTGGCAGCGGTGTCACGTGGTCTGGTACCGAGGCAGCCCGTGCGCACGCCCACGATCCAGCCGGCCGCACACACACCAACCCGCCCGCGCGGCAGGCGTACACCGTCTCCGACGCCGAGGCGGTCGGCGCGTGCGCTTCGCTCCTCGACGACCACCGCGTGCTCGTCGAGCCGGCCTGCGGCGCGGCACTCGCGCTCGCCTACTCGCCGCGGCAGCGCGAGGCGCTGCGGCGCTTCGAGACGGTCGTGGTCGTCGTCTGCGGGGGCGGGGGCGTCACGCACGAGATCCTCTCGCAGTGGAAGGCTGACCTGCTCTAGTGCCTACAACCCGCGGGACTCTAGACCCCCGGTGCTGCCATGCTGGCCGCAATACACCAGCAATACACAAGTGTGTCCAGGACACACTTGATCGGAGGGCAACTTATATGAAAATTCGCTGAGATAATATTCTTTTGCCACACATGCCGGTTGCGGCCCGGTTCGCGGTTGCCCGCAGGGGCCAGTTTTGTTCTTCGAATTAGTGTTGTAAAATTCACTTGACCGTTGGCGTTGGCCGCGTTGCGCGGGGGAGCGAGGGAGCGGCGAGCAGGCCTTTGCGGACCGATCAGCAGGAGGATGCACGAAGAGATTAGGAGCAGCAGGGACCCCCCGAGCGCCGAGCCCGAGGCGCGAGGGACCATGTGGTTGTGGAAGACGCTTAGACGCTAGACGGCTGTGCTAGTCCCTAGTAAGGCAGTCGCCGCCCACACGTCCACACCCACAAAGTACCCTTGCCACAAAGATAAACACGGCGGGGCCTTATTGTAAAATTCTTGGCATGGCGTTGGAAGGGACGTGTCCACAACTCGGGGAGTTCGACTGGAGCTCTATGTCGTGCGTCCAAGGTCCAAAGAACTTCATCTAGTTCTGGTCTGGACGTCGAGTGCAGCGGAGTAACAAGTCACGCGCATGCAGGTGTGCGCGCGCTTCTTTGCGTGTGTCCTGCTCGCGGCCCGCCTCACCTTTTCAGCGGGATCGGAGCACATCGAGGTGCCTGGCGGCACGGGCTCTTGCAGCGATGATGAACCGCCGGCCGCAGCCAAGATTGTGAAAATGAACGGTGCAGAGCTGGGTGTAGCAGTAGCAAAGTGGGCCACAGCAGATTTTGAGGAGACATCGGCCTTATTCATGCGTGTGGGCATGCTTGGTGCCCTTGCCAACGCCTCGCAAGAGATGGACGCGCTATTGGAGGCGGCGGACGGCCAGGCGCTGCCCGCCCTAATCCACTCGGTCACAAGGCACTCCTGTGGCGAGCTGGTGGGCGAACGGCGCTTGCCAGGTGGCATGCTCATCGAGGCTGCCCTGACTGCGCTGGGAACCGTCTCCACGCACGGGAGGAAGGAGTCGTATGCACGTCTGGCGCGTAGCACGCGCCTCGCGGAGCTAGGCGCGCTCAACGCGACGGTCCTCGCTATGGATTCTTCCGGGCTCGACCCAACCGCTTGCGCGCAGGCCTGGGGAATCCAGCAGGCAGGCACCCACATCATTGCGTCCGTCTGCGCGTCCGACAATGTTGAGGCCCTAGGGCTGCCTGGCAATGTCACTGACGCCGAGGCGATGACAAGGCTGCAGAGCGAGGCGAGCTTCAGGCGCGAGGCGGCGGCTTCGGCGGGCGCTGTCGAGACGATCATCCGCACGATAGCGGCGTTGCGCGACTGCACCGATGATTGCGGACTCCGGGATAAGAGGGCCTGGAACCTGCTAAAGGTGGCACTACGCGCGCTGCGACGCATAGTCACGGGCGACGCCGGGAAACAGCGGCGGGCGCGTGCGGCGGCGGAGCAGGTGATCCCGGCCATCGTGGGCGCCCTGGACACGGCGATATTCAGGTCGCCCGAGATGACTCCAATGGGGCTGGTGCAGCTAGCGAACGCGACCAAGGCGGCGCTCATGGGCCAGGATGACTCGGAGGGGGAGGTGGACCCGGCGATCGAGCGGGCGTGGCAAGACGAGGTCGGGCGACGGCCCGAGCTGCAGACCAAGCTGCAGGAGGTGGCGGACGAGCTGCAGACACTGACGAGCTGAGCGGGGGCGGCTGCGATGGGGAGGTGCAGCCAACTGGCGGTGGTGCAGGCAAGTGTGAATAGGGCGCATGCGCGGCTGTTGAATAGGCGAGGCGAGTGAAAGAAAAGGAAAAAATAATTTTACAACAAAACCCCCTGGCACGGCTCTGTGCGGAAGAAAAGAACCGAAAGATAGAAACGACCCCCCCCTCCCCCCCCCCCCCCCCGTATGAGTTGACGCTTCACGATCATGCGGCTGCGCGGCCCGGTCGCTTCATCATGCGGCTGCGCGTGCCCGCCGCGGTTTGCGCCGAGGATCGACCGCCGCCCGCCGATCGTGGAGCCAAAGGGCGGGCCGACGGCGGCGCGCCCACCGTCGCCCCTCTGCCTGTCGCTGGGCGACTCTCCGCTGATTGCGCTCCGGCGAAGGAGCGGCCCGGACTGCCCCGAGCGGATCGAGCGCCGGGAACTTTGAGAGAGCGGAGAGCACAGCTCCGTCGGTTACGTGTGAGCGAGTACGTGGGTGTTTTAGCGCGGAGTACGAGAGTCACATTTTAAACGTCAGCAGTTTTTTTATGTATATGTGACACGCCGC